GTATTGTTGGAATTACAGATGCTACAGCACCACTCCTGGCATATTTTTGAGCTAGGTCTTGCCACTTCCCGCAACCCCAGGGCTGACGTTAAACTATAGTTCTCCTGTCTCTGCCTTTGGATTAGCTAGGAATTCAGGTGTGCTTTATCACACCCAGCCCTACTCTTACTTTTAAAAGAAGTTGATGAAATTTAGGAAAGTAAGACCTAACAGCTTGGTGTTGTGAATAGAACAAATGTTTTTGGTTTCCAGTATAAATAACCCCGTGAGGATATACTAGACAAGTATATTTTTAAACAAGTAGATGTATAGTGGCTTTGCTTTGCTGCCATAAATATTTATTGAGAAAATGTTACATAATAGACTCTATTTATAATAAAAAATGAATGAGGACACAGTTCTGTTTTCCTGAAACCTAAAATAAAGTAAGGGAGTTAAAATTACTGTACAGAGAATTGTGTGGAAGCAGAGTGTGCCAAATGCCATAAAAGAGGTCCTGTTGCATTCCACAAGGGAACCACTTCATACTTGGTAAAGGCATCTGGGAAAGGGGGCCGACCCAAGGGCTCTGTTTCAGGTGAACCTTGATTTTGGTGGTAGGGGGTAGTGCTGGGAATTGAACCCAGGGTCTCACCCATGCCAGGCTAGTAGCTCTACCACTGAACTACATGCCTAGACCCTTTGATTTTGAGAAGACAGGAACATTTTGCAAGAAATTGAGAGTTGGAAAGATAGCACTGTGTTCACTGAGAAAATACCTTTTTTTGCATTAAAAATTTTCTTTTTGTAAATAGTCATTTGAAGTGAGGCACATGTTTCCTGAAGGAGAGGTGTTATGTCCTGAAATGTCTGGCATGAGGGTCTTTTAGAATAGTTGCCAAAGATTTAATTTTATACTTTTGATATCTTTTTTTTTTTTTTTTTTGTCTTTTCTTTTTTGGTGCTGAGATCGAACCCAGGGCCTCATACATGCTAGGCAAGCGCTGTACCACCAAGCTACATCCCAGCCCTTATTTTTGATATTCTTATCCACCTATTGTTAAAGACATTTATAAATAGAAACAAAACCACAAAATAAGTGGGTTTTGCTGAGATTCAAATTTAGAGCATTAATTTTATGTAATAAAGTTTTCTAAAATAAATTGCTATTCTCAAGGTAAATATAGTACTGATTAATGGCATGGTACTTGAGCAGGTTATGCACTTTTCTGTGCTGTGTGGTAACTCAGTTCTCTTCTTTTTCTGCTGTAACAACTGTGAAACAGAATTGTGTATCCAATTAAATCATTTGACTTTCCTGTTACAGTCCACTGGCCTATGACAAATAGAGTTACGTTACTGTGCTGCACCCATGTTTTCATAAATTTATTAAATAATTTAGGTTCATATAACAGTTTTTGGTTGCTACTTATCACTGAGAAACAAAACTCTTTTTAACTGTTAAGAAAATTCAGTATGAATATGATATAATATGTAGGTCACATACTGTCATCTTGATAATAAGACACACCACACTGATAGTTGCTATAGACATACTTACTAGTACATTTTGGATTAAATGGTATGATTTTAGGTACTTGATAGCTACTGGCACAGTTTTAAATATAAAGGCAAACTCGATTGGTAAAACTAAATAGTTGACAGAGAGAAATGAAGTCATCCAGATGATCCAGAAAAATGACCATCTTCATTGTTTTTAGATTGCTGTGAAATTGAAAATGTAATGTTAAAATTTTCACATAAAGAACTTAAAGTTCCTTAAGAATACATTATTCTTAGGTCTCAGAATAAGAAATGCTGAGCTGAGCTGATAGAAAAGACATACATTTCTTATTAACAGCTACATTATTTTTAAAAAGCCTTTTTTTACTTTCTACATTTTTTAAACTTCCTTTCACCACTCCTTGTTTTGTTCTTTCTGTAAATATTTTAAATAACCTGGTGGAATTCTTGCAGTTCCAAAAAATGCCTGTTCCACTTAGACCTCTGAAGCAGTGTACATTTGGTTCTAGAGACAAGCATTTAGAAAAGAAAAGGAACTTTACTTGCAAGGAAGGCTTGCCAGAGAGTCCAATTGGAAGGGCTGGCTCCCCAAATTAAAATTTAAGAAAAAGATCCCCACAAGACTACCAAGGTTTCAGAGTTTACTATTTGTATGTTTGTGGTAGAAATGGCAGTTTTATTTGTCTTTTTCAATAGTTTTTATAAACTCAAGAAAAATAACTTTTAAGTATAGCTAGATATGAACTAACATTTCAAAGTAGGCTAAATTTAATTTCTATTTTAATTCCTCTTGATACTAATATTTTAAAGTGTAGAGGAACAAGTGACACTTTTTGCATTCTATTTTCAGTGATGCCAATTGGTGGAAAGGGGAAAACCACAGAGGAATAGGACTCTTCCCATCTAATTTTGTAACAGCTAATTTAAATGTAGAGTCTGAGGCAGGTAAGTTAAATCTTAGAGAAAATTCAATCTATTAAAGTCTTTTCACTTGAATTTTATTATTTGCATTTAAGTCAGTATTTTATTTAATAGGCATTACGATGTATAACCTGCTTCTTACCCAAATGAAAGGATTAATTTATTCTATGTCAGTCATAGGATTAATTTTATCCCAAGTCAATCCCAGGAACTTTTTCCTTGTATCTTAAATCCTTTGAGTGTTAATGTGTATAGTAACTATATAAGTAAGTATTTGAATCAATAATTTTACAGTGTGAGAGGCAATGTGTGTCTTGTTCTGTATAAAGAATGTTGTTTTTACTCATCACTGAACCATAGTTACAAAGGTGGGAGTTGGCAAGGACCCTGGTCAGCAAGGGCTAAATGGGTTAGAAGTGTTCCTAAGTTTTAGACTTTACCCCACCTTCATTCGATCCTAGGGAACTCAAGACAATAAAGTAATGTAAACAAAGCACTGAAGGTGTCTTCTGAATAACATTAGAAAAAGTAAAAGAGTATTCTTGATTTTCAGTGTATCCTTGTATTTTGCTGAGCTCTGTTCATTAGGGTATAATTAAAAGTTAGCCCCATACTTGAATTAAGTGACTGTTAAAACTTAATCCTTTGGTTATGTAGGTTTTTACTGTAACTTTCTTTTTACCAGGCTATACTTAAGTAAAATTTAGTACACTCTAGCAATACTCCAAGGATAGTTTTCTGGGTTATGTATATTTTTTAGCTTTCTCTTTATGAAAGACTTTTCTGTTTTGTGTTATCTAGTGTCAAAGTCAGGGTAAAATCAGGCCTATTTTGTTCATATAGGAAATAGATTTTCCCTTACTAGAAGGCAGGAATGTAGATGGAATTTATAAATTTAACTATGGAATTAGCTTTGTAGCTAATGATCTACTACTATCTTGTATATTTTTTCACCTCAGTGGAAGTACTCAGTTTTAGGGAAAAAAGCAACTCCCATTCGTGGTGCTCAGTTGTTGCACAAGATCCTTGTTTGCCTTAGTCACTGGTGTATGTCTAAATGCCTAGGATGATGGTTGGCACACAGTTAAGTGCTAATAAGTATTTGTGACATGAACAAATGAATATATGTAATTTATTGATTACAAAATGTGATGAATAAGGAGCTTCCTTTTTTTCTTATGTATACTCATAGGCCACTTTTAAATTAATGATTCAGTTACCAAAGTAAATGCTGAAGAACTCATAGTTTACTTTGTTTCCATAGGAGCTGTGGACAAATTGAATGTAGTTGATGATGATGTGGAGGAAATTAAGACATCAGAGCCTGAGCCTGTTTACATAGATGAGGTAAAGTCCTTTGTTTAATAGTTAAACTGTCAAAACTTTAATATGTAATATGGATGCCTGGAAAGAGTAATTTTCCATTCACTGAAGTTAAAGCTCTTTTGACTTTGGGCATTTCTTGTTATCTTTAGGATAAAATGAATAGAGCCCTGCAGGTACTGCAGAGTATAGACCCAGCAGATCCAAAACCAGACTCCCAAGACCTCTTGGACTTGGAAGGTACTTAGTTAATATTGGAGATTAATGTTACTTCATATTTTAGCTCTTCATAATGTCTTGTGTTTTTTTCTGGTTTGTGTTTAGTTTTTGAGGTTTGAAATCTCTGGTGAGGAGTAGACTAGGATAGTAAAATAGTAAAAGTGTCACTTGGAAGGTATTAACATATGTGCATATTTTTTCAAGAAGAAAGTCTTTGAATTCTATAAGCCTTCTTATGAAATTGTCTAAAGAAATCTGCAGTTCAAAAAAATAATTAGAAATAGCAAATTAATTGGATGAAAATTTAAAAAATTCTTCTTTAATTCTCTTGTGGTATAACTTTAAAGGTCCACATTATACATGCTCAGTGTTAACTTTGTCATTTGATGCATGCCAATGTGCAGCAGATGTATGCCAAATGTCTCTCAGAAATTTAAAGTAAGAACAAATGTTTTTATGCTTTTAAAAATCCTTTTTGTTGGGTGCTGGGGACTGTACTTGGGAGGCTCAGATTTGGAGGAGCACGGGCAAATAGTTCCCAAGACTCCATGTCTAAAATAAACAGAGCAAAGTGGACTGGAAGTGTGGCTGAAGTGGTGGAGTGCCTGCCTAGCAAGCACAAGAGCCTGAGTTCAAACCCTAGCACCATTCAAAAAACAATCCTTTGGGAGAAAAATATGGTGAATGGATAAATCCTGTCTTTTTGTAGAAGAAACCTGGTTGTAAATGTAGAATATTGTGGTATTCATTATATTTGTGCATGCAGTTGGAAATACCTAAAATACTAAAATTCGAAATGTCAGATACATGAAAGTGTTCATATCTAATCTGCATATGGTTACATACTTTTTACACTGTGACTCAAGTTTTCCTTAGTTGGGTAGTAATAGTTTTCTAGATACCTTTCAGACTTTGGGACCAGTACAAATGTCACAGTCCATAAACTCATTTAATAGCTCCAAGGATCATGATAGGATATTCATTTTAGTTTTGACCTTGCCTTTGCTCACACTAGTAATGCGTAGTAACAGTAGTGCTGAGTAATATTAAAAGTAGGTCCTTTATAGTCTGTCTGTAGGATAAACTTCATTCTCTGTGTATTATGTATGTTATCACATATTGGTGCTCTCGGTAAAAGTTGTGAAAATTGCTTAAACTGAATTAGGTTTCTAGATTTCTAAGTATTTTTATATTTACAGATATCTGCCAGCAGATGGGCCCAGTGATAGATGAAAAACTTGAAGAGATTGACAGGTAAGATTTTTCATGCAAATAAAAATGTATAGTTTTCATAGATTTACTTGTTTTGGGGAAACCGAACTACTGAGGCCTTTGTAACTGGAATGTCTGTCAAAATTGTTTTTCAGTTTTCCAAGCTCTTACAAGCTAATAGCAAGATGGTGCTTTTTTTTTTTTGTCAGTACTGGTGATTGAACTCTGCCTCAAGGCAAGCACTGTACCATGAGCCACCACCTAGTCCTTTTGCTTTTTAGTTTGTTTTTCAGGTAGTGTGTCATGCTTTTGCCCAGACAGGCCTGGACTGCAGTCCTTCTAATGCCTCCTGAATAGCTGGGATTATAGGCATGTGCCACCACACCTGACTTGTTTTTGAGATAGCATCTTACCAACTTTTGCCCGGGCCAGCCTTGAACTTTAATCCTCCTGTCTCCATCTGAGTGGCTGGGATTACAGGGGTGCACCACCACCCCTGGCCCAGATGATGGTTTTTATTTTGGTAGCAGTTATTTTATTCTAATGGCAGTAGTGTAATATGCATAGAATCAAGGCCCCTTACTTTTCTTATGCAGTCATTTTTTTCCTTGAGCTCAGAATGAGGGGCTAATGAGTAGTGAAGACTAAAGTGAATGGAGAACAAAGTGAAAGCAGGGGTCATAGGCAGTCATTGACTTGTTATGCAATGGAAGCTTCAAGTGAGATCTCCATAACTTGGGAAGCTAACCCAGTATAATGCACTTCCCTCTCTTTGTATTTCCACATTTCTCTTGCACTGTTCCTAAGAAACAGCAACAGCACTGGAGAAGGGGATGTCAGAGTTAAGCTTTTAGTGTGGCCCTGTGCCCTTCTTGCACCCCTCAGCTTGGCATCTGAAGTTACTATTCCAGCCCAGCCCTTCCCGGCCCTAGTTGTTGAACTGCTGTGTAAACAGCACAGAAGCAAGAGGTTAGGGAGCATTGAAGTACAAAGGAGAGGAGGAAGTGCTTTCTTTCTTTCTACTACTACCAGAGAGGTGCCTCAGCAGCAAAGCCTTCAGATCACTGAAAATTGTCATCTTTGTTCCATGGGGCATTTGTTACAAATCCTCTATATTTTCTGCAGAAATAAAAACTAAATTCCTATGGCAGTGAATGATGTGACAGTGGTGGTTTTGTCATATTTTAGAGAAAGTATTAAATGGGTACTTACACATCTACTTTGCTTCAATGGAGGGATGTTAATGGCTAGTGAATAATTAAACTGGAGAAGATCATAAAGAAAAAATAGTATTGCTATAGGTGGAGATAGGAGTACAGTTTTCAACTTTTCTGGGCCTAAAGCTTGTTCATATCCTTACAACCCCACAATTTCAAGCCCATGCTAAGTGCATGGTGACAGATGCAGACATTTAGCTGTGAAGGTGTTCAGCATTGTTATTTATGACAACACTGTTGAAGGAAGTAGCTGAAAAGACCTTCAGGGTCAGATTGGTTTAAAAAAATTGTATATCCACACATTCTATGGTAGAAATCAATGACAAGTATCTGTTGATATGGAATGATGTGATATAATGAAAAAAAGCAGAAGAGATTTAACAAAAAGAATATCATTAAAGGAAAAATGCCTAGAAGGATTAAAACTCGAGTGTTCGTTTCTGATAGGAGTTACTTTTTTAAATGAGAACTCAGCTCTTAACCAGTCCCCTTGTCTGTTTTAGTTTGTGACTAGGTAACTGGCATTCTCTTACTGCAGATGGAGCTCCTGTACTGGAAATGCTTAATGTTTTTTTCAACAAATTTTCATTGGCTACTTACTCTTGTTGAGCATTCAGAGATGAGTCTAATAGTCCCCTGAATGGGTCATCAGTTTGTTATTTCTACTAAGAAAAACAACTCTACTGTCAGAAAATTAAATTGTATGTTTTCCTTCTATTAATGTGTGGAATGAAATTTTGTAGAATTTATCTAAGAAATTATAATGGGTAAACATGTAAATTGAATCCAGAAATTTTAAGTAGGTTTATTGATGGAAGATTCATTGTCTGGATCTATGTTCCAGGCTATTGTAATCTGTTTTCCTACTTCCTTTCTAAACCCTGCTTGTCCCGTTTACTACTGACCTGACATAGTCTTTATTTTCAACTTGACCTACCCGTCCTTACTTGGGGCCAGCTTATGTCCTAGCTTTAACTTCCAGCCTTTTCAGTCTATCGCAGCTCAAACTCATATCCTTCTCTAAATTCTTCTGTCTCTACCATTTCATACAATTTTGCATTCAATTACGTTTCATCATTTGCTGTTTTTCATGTTCTTTACCTTGTCGTCCTAAGAGATTAAAGTCTCTCCAAGTAAAAAGAATTATACTTTATTTTCTTCTAGTATAGTTTTGAGCACAGTTCAGTAAAACATTTGTTATTACTGTGGGACTTTGTCTCAGATCTTTCAAAGATACTGCTCAGGGCTTTCTACTGCATTCTCCTGGTGTTTCCTCAGCATGCTGGGTTGTGTGGGCCAAGTTCTTATGGCTAATTCTTAGTCACACATTAATACATGTGCACTTAATTTCTGTAGCTTTAGTGATTTGCAACTGATATTTCTGAAGATGTAGTTTAACCTGCTTTATATAGACATTCGTTGCAAGTCGGATCAACCTTTTTTTTAATTTCGGTTCAGCCATAACAGATTCTAATAGAGGAAAGGTGATAAATTTTGATAGGACTCAATTCAGGTCAGTTATTCATGATAGCCCTGTGTCTGTTTACTTGCTCTGTTTCTTGCCTCTGTGTTTATATGGAAAGAACCATGTTCAAATAAACAGGCTTGTAGATACTTTAGATCAGATAAAAGCAGCCATTTCACTTTTATTAACTTGTTAGTTGCAAAGACAGTTTATTACTCCTGGGGTAGCAGACAAAATTGTACTAAGTCTGAAGGATTTGCTCTGGAGTTTCTTGGACACATGTGAAAATGCTTATTTAGATTTGTTGTTACTGCACAATGATGTAATCTACCTTTTCAAAATCAACCAATCTACAAATACAAACTGTATTTCTACAACAAATTTCAATCAACCAATCAACAGCAAGCAGTAAGGACTCCCTTGTGTATATATTATATTATTCGCATTTTCAAGGATAATTATTTAAATAATTTTTTTAGTTGGTCTTTCGTGGATATTAGTAAATGGAAATGTGTGATTTTTTGGGGTGTGTTCTTATTTTGCTCATTATACTTCACAGAGGCTCTGTGCTTTGCCCATGTGCTTTTCTTTTTAACTGAGATTTATAATTATGACTTATACTCTTACCTAATTGCAAGACTGTTTTTCCTTATAATTGAATTTTCAACAGAGACCTATAACATATTAAAGTAAATTCTCCTAGCAACAAAATTATACATTGGTTGCAATCTATGAAGGATAGAACTGAATTTTCCATAATATAATAAAGTCATATCAGCCTCACTATTATAAGAATTAAATAATTTCTTCCCCTCATTTTCTCTTTGTGACTTCTTTCCTGTATATAAAAAGAATATTTTAAAATATGAATAGAAGTATGCTAAATTTAAAAAATAATTTACATTTCTAAATACTTGCTTAAAGACTAGAAGAGTATGAAAATGCTTTTCTTCCATGTCAGGAAGCATTCAGAATTGTCTGAATTGAATGTAAAAGTCTTGGAAGCTCTGGAACTCTATAACAAATTGGTGAATGAAGCACCAGTCTATTCAGTCTATTCAAAGCTCCACCCTCCAGCACATTATCCGTCTGCATCAGCTGGGGTTCCATTGCAGGTGAGCATGTTTTTTGAGAACATTTTTCAAAGTTATAAAAAGTTTTAAGCTTAAAAAAAATGTTTAAGAGTATAGTATTAAAATTTCTGTGGCCCATAGAATTCTGTCACTGACAGAAACACCTAAGAGAAATCAACTTAAAGGAGGAAAGATTTCTTTTGGCTCATAGTTTCAGATGTTTCAGTCCATGGTCAGCTGGCTCCATTGCTGCCTCCAGTCTGAGTTGAGACTGGAACATCATGGCTGGGAGCAGCAAAGCTGCATACGCCATAGTGGTTGGGAAAGGGGACGTGGCCAGGGATCAAACATGCCCTTCAGAGGCACACCCCTGGTAAACACTTTCCCAACAAGGATCTACTTCCTCATAGCTCATTCATCTGTGCATTCATGAAAGGATTAATCCATTGATGAAATTAGTTAGTAAACTCATAATTCAATCACTTCTTAGTAGTGCCACCAGCTAAGGACTAAGCCTTTAACACAAAAACTTTTTTGGGGGATACTTCATATCTAAACCATACCACTTTGCTTTGATAGTTTCAAGAAGTATTGGCTTGGCTAGGCCAGGCATAGTGGCTTATGCCTATCATCCCAGCTACTTGGGATGTAGAGATGGGCCATTTGTGGTTTAAGGCCAACCTGGGCACCAAAAAAAAAAGTTGTTGAGACCCTGTCTCAAAAAGAGCAAGCCAAGCATGGTGGTTCATGACTATAATCTCAGTTACTTTGGAGTTGTAGGTAGGAGGATAGCATTTCAAGGTCACCCAGGAAACAGGCATGAGCCTTACCTGAAAAATAAGTAAAGCAAAAAGGGTTGGAGGTGCATAGCTGAAGTGGTAGAGCACTTATAAGGCCCTGAGTTCAAACCCCAGGAATGCCAAAAAAAAAAAAGAATTAAGGAAAAGAAATACTGACTAAACAGTGTTCACCAGAAAAAATAGATGCCAATATTTCACAAATAACATTTTACATTTAGTTCAGTTTTAACATAATGGAAACTCCAGTGAATGTCTGAGGAGAGTCCTGCTTCTTTATATGCCCTTGTTAGTGTGAAGTGTAAGTCTTTGATACACTTACAAATCCTGTTTGTAAGTGTGAAATAAAAATCCTCTGGTTCAGGACTGGTGTAGCAAGTCCTCTGGGTGAGTACCACACAACAAGGTGATTGAATATTTCTTTTCATTTTTAACAAAAAAAGTCAAACTTTATAAGGCTATAGTACATTTCTTCAAATCACTGGATTTAAAAGAAAAGAATAAAAGCATACCATTGTTTGGTTTATAACTATAGTTGGAGAATTGTGGCCTAGTACACAACCTTCAACAATGTTAATTTTTCCAGTACTTGCTCCAGGACACATTCAGCTTAGATTAAAATGATCAATATGGACCTGTAAAGCCTGAGGAGCAGAGCTGTAGAGTTTATCCTTATAGTGAAAAGAGCCATCAGAGTTAGAGGAATTACTGCTACTCAGGCTACAGCTTGTGAGGAGAGAAGATACTGAAGAATTCCAAAAACAAACTGTATTTTGTTGTTTTATGTTTGATTTTGCCACGGCTTCCTCAAAATGTGTAATTTTTATTCATTTCTCTTAAAAACAACATCCCCTCCATAAACGCTTCAACCCAGATCTCCAAAAGCAACTCCATCATGCTGAACAGAATGTTAAAACTTAGGGCAATTCATTTCAAACTTCCACAAGTCTCCACCGATAGCCTAGGCCTATTCTGGAACAGGAGATGCGATGAAGCATCCCTGAGCTGGACACTGCCTGCCTTTTACTTTGCCAGCTCGCAAGTTTCCTCCGCCATCACAGCTGAGTATGACACCCGCGTTTGCTTTCAAACTAACCCAACGTGGCCTGAATATTTCTTTTAAAATCTCTGTCAAGATTTCTGTAAAGGGCTTAGTTAATGAGCTTCTTTTGTTCTGAGAGCATGCTTTATATATTTTTTTCTTAGCCTTATGACTTAAATTGTTTAAAAGTTCATGTATAATGAAGGTACAATGCAGGCCTCTGAGGTGCAGGTGCCAAAAGACATCCATAAACACTAGTTCTCAGTACTCTTCACCTTTTTTGTGCTTGCCAACCTAAACAAATACTTACACTCATCAGTATCCCCATTTGGAAGTCTTTTTCAAATTTTAGTCAATTAACAATCAAATTCAAAATGAGCATGGATGGGCAAAATTCATGTTACTTTATGGAAACTGATACATAAGGGAGTGTGTGAAGGAGACACCAAGGAGAAAACGTAGAATGTGGGTGCATAAATTAGATGACTTAACACAATATAATTGCTAAGTTAAAAAAAAGAATGGTTACTGTGGTAACTGTCACATCAGATAGCATGCATTCTATCAAATATGCCATGCCCTGAACCTTTTGAAAATTGCATGTGAGCTTAGGAAGGATTTTTGGGCACAAAAAGACTACTGGAGTTTATTCATTATTGCTTGTGTTTTCAAAGAGTTACTTGCACTGCTGTGAAAATGAAACAGAATAGAAATGGTTGTACCATTGTGTGATAGAACTAATGTTTGCTTCTTTTTATGTCTGTAAAGGGTTATTTGTCATTCCTATGCCAGGTTTTGTGTTTTTTTGCATTCTATGTATAATGTTTTTTGCTAAGCACAACTAATTTTTTAAAGTTAACTTTCTATCAGTTTGCTTCCTCACATAACACTGTCTATACCCTTCACACATAAGAGTATTTGAATTATTTATAACTTAGTGTTCTGATTTGAAAAACATCTCTACTAGAAGTAGGTGGGGTAACGTACAATTTTTTTTTTATTCCTTGTGTCTGTGGAGGCCACTCAGGAAACGTAAACCACAGTGATCTATTCCTACAATCTCAGCTTCTCGTCTGTGGGTTGTTACATGTTTGCTTCCTTAAGGAGGTAGTATGATTGCACTTTATGTAGATTTTTGGCATTCCAACACTAAATGTTAATGTGAATTATCATTTAGCCTAATTTAAAACTGGAGCAATGATTATTACTATATGACCTTTATTAAACATGTTCATTGTTACGAATGCTGAGTGTAAATAGGCAGATGGACTCGGTCTTTAAGGAGCTGTTACCATGAAAATTAAGTAGGGCACATAAAAATATCTAGCTACTTAGGCCTTTTTAAAAAAATTTCCTTAGGATACATCTTCTCACTTATAACTCTTTCCTTTTGTCCCATCTGTTCTAAAGGCAGATGTATAGTAGAAGTTGCTGGAGAGGGGCTGGCACCCTGATATCATTTCTTTTTCAACCTTTACTCCGTAGTAGGGGTTAGATGAGTCATCCCAGGTTGGGGGTGAAGAGGCCATCTTTTTCATGGCCACTTGAAGTGATGATGGGCTTCCCTTCAAGGAGGTGTTCTGTGGCTTTATAGCAAGCATGTTACTGGGTAATAGCACTCTGACAGATAGATTCCAGCCCACTACTTGAAAATATACTACCTTCTTTTTTTTTTGTCTTTCTCCAAAGCTGCTGAAAAGTAAAAGAACAACCAGGAAAATAATTATTTTCATAGATTTAACACTGAGTTAGAAGCTGTGCACTTTTTCTTCTAGAATGGATAAATTGGTGAAATCAGATTGCTCCCCAAAGAAATATAACATTTTCTTTCCTTTAGTCTTTTAAAGTTTTAGATATTAGTTAGATGTTTGGGAGATCAGTGAGTGAACTTTTTCCCTTTGGTTAATAGACATATCCAGTTCAATCACATGGTGGAAACTACCTGGGTCAAAGCATTCACCAAGTAACTGTTGCCCAAAGCTACAACTTGGGGCCAGATCATATTGGCTCACTGAGATCGCTGCCTCCAAATGTGAACTCCTCAGTAACAACACAGACTGCTCAAACTCCGTATTTAAGGTAAGTTTTGGGGAGCTGTGTGAATTTTTCAGCGACTTTTAGAATGAAACTCTGTAGACCCTGGTCTCTTTTTGTAAGAACAGTTCCAGCTTTCACCCTGAAGATGGAGTTATTGAAGCGCCAGTTCTTAATCCCATTAAGTGGAGTGGGGCTGCCCTTAGCTTTGGTAGCTTTGTTTGCTGAGACTTAAGCCTATAGTTAGGTCCTGAGGACAAGAAGGCTAATTGTCCTTTGTGGGACTAACCTCATGATGTACTTACAAGCACTGTGCTGTAGTTGACTAGAGAAGTAGTCCCAGACATACTTATCTGCACATACTCCTAAATATTAGGAAGCTCCTGTTACTTTGACCATTATAAGGGAGTATGTTTGAGTTGTGGAATTTGCAGTTTCAACGTTTTTAATGCAAACACGTCTCTAGAATTATGTTTTAAATCTTTCCTTTTACTTACTTCACCACAGAAAATGCCCATTACGTATTATCACATGTAGGAGGTCACTTTCTACTGTTTAAATACCATGTGTATGAGTCTTAGATATTACCTGAAAACTAAGTAAGCCTGTTTATATTGGTATTTGATTAAAATAAAATTTTGTTATCCTGAGTACCAGTAAGAATTATCTAGGAAAAACTGGTATAGTGTTGACATTAATTCTCCTCTGTTGCAAGCGGTGTATTCAGTGTAATTTAAATTTAAATACATTTTAAAAGAAATCTGTGCCATAGTAGCTACAGGGAAAAACAAAAGCTTTGTCATTTTTTGTGATTTTTCAGCTTTGTGTGTGCATGTATGTATGTATGTATGTGTGAGCAATAAGCAAACACATTTTCCTGAGAGCAGATCATGGGTCCTATGCAGCATGCACTGTTCTCTCTTTGAAAGGGAAGAGTCCCTGCCAAAGGAAAGCTTGGAGGGCATACTGGATTGGGAAGTGGAAAAGGGAGAATGTGCTGAGGGTGCATCTTGAGCCAGAGCTCTATTCTCTTCAGAGCTGCCAAGGTGACTGTAGTCAGAAATAGTTTGCATCTCTTCAGTTTTTAAATGTTTTCAGGAAGAGATTTTAGAGAAAACAAATTAAACAGGTCTTGTAATTTACATTTTGTTGCTTTTTGAGCACTCCTCTCTTAGCAAATATAAAAATTATAGTAACAATATTTGATAGCTGTGTAAACTTAAAATGAAGATGGAGAAGGCATTTTTGTTATGATGATTGATATCTGACCATAACCTAGATAATGCAAAGCAAATGTGATTTACTTTTTAAAATTTTGTTTGTAGCACTGGACAAGATGCTGTTTCCAGTCCTGCCTACATGAACCACAGCTCTAGTCTTCAAGCAGCTACTGGTACAGCTGCTTACACACAGCAGACGGGGATGTCTGTGGATCCGTCCTCTTACCAGAACACTACTTCCAGCTTGCCACAGCTGGCGGGTTTTGCCATGGCAGTTCCAGCCCATTCGGTGGCTCAGCAGGCAGGCTACCAGCAGCCTCTGCTTTAGAGACAGACAAGCAACCCTGGTGATCTAACCTAAAGTTTAAAAGAAAACTTTGTTGCCTCTCAACTCAAAAGAACCATGAATAAATAAAGCACAAAAACCTATCTTACTCTGAAGGCCATAAAAGCTTTATTCAGTCCAGTTTGTTTGAAGTCAGTCTTCCTATCAGAGGCAGGTTAGGGATGATTCCAGACAGCTTCGTCGTACTCTCAAATCTCTACATAAATTTGGAAACTCAATAGTAGCTTTATGACACTAAATAGTGTGAGATAGGAGTGTAAAAGTTTTACTTTAAAGTAGCTATTGTTTTCCCCTAAAATGTGGTTTCAGGATCACTGAAGACCTTTAAATATTTTTTTGTCTGCCTCCTTTTCTCAGTTTCCCACATGCTATTATTTTAAAAGGCGAACATCTTTTTGTGTAAGCATTTAGCTTGCCAACATATTTCCTTTTGGCTCCTTAAATTGCAGTTGTGTTTTCAGTACTGTCAGTTTTGCTCTCAGTGTTATGTTGAGTAATAATTAGCATATAATTGTCTACAGAAACAAGAGCAATTTGGAAGGAACAGAAATGTTTTCTGTTATTACTAGTGAAAACCATGTAAATGCAGATGTGTGAGAAAGCATTCAGCCAGTCCCTTTTAACAGCACCACCAGCAGTGGTCTCAGGAGTGCCCCACTAAACATTTCCATTCCCTGAAGAAAGACAGTTCCTTTTGTACAAGACTCCCTGGTATTTAGAATTGCCACTAATGACCTTTTTAGTTGACTTTGACCATTGTCTAATGAAGATGGGGTCCATGTGTTTTCCTTCCTGCAATGGTGTGCACAGATGGCTACATTTCCTTTTTATGGGTTATATGTGAATTTGAGTCATGAGACATTCTTTTGATGTGATATAAAATAAGCATGGGTGATAAGTGTGTATTTATTGATGGGCTGTTTTTTTTTTTTTTTTTTTTTAAAGAAGTGACTCAAATACCAGTGCTAATTTGCCCTGTGCCAAGCCGTTGGAAAAAATGTCCATTTCTGAGCCTTTGGAATAATAGCAGACAGTGATTTGATAGAAGACAATGAATGGATTGATAAGAAAGCGGTCAAGGCAATTTTCCTGAAGCCCATGTTTTAAATTAATTTGTAGTGTTAATAGATTCCACATAATGTAGGAATTAGTGGTAACCCAGTAGGGATTGTTTTCTCTTAAAAATTTGTACATTACTTTATCCTACCAACTTTTTACATAATACGAATAGAACATACAAATACATATGCTTAGAAATACATGTATTTAGGAAAAATTATGAACATCAGTTTAATTTTTTTAAAAAGTTAAAACTTTTGGCATGCTTGCAAGATTTGTATATTTGTTTTTTAAAGAAAAGCACTTAATCTTTCTACTAAGAATCCATTTGAAGATAGTTCTGGAAATTTTGGTGTTTACAGAAATTTGGTTATAAGTGTACTCCTTTTTCAGAGAAACTTTACCCTAGAACAAGATACTGTGTATGACATTTGGTCTACATTTAGTGGGGAAACAAGCCATATCTGAAAGGCTAGTTTCTGTCATTGTCTTTATTTTCAGATCCAAATAACTGAAAAGGAAGTTTTAACCTTTAATGCCTCATATTCTGTTTTTTCATCCTGTATTTTTCTTCCACATAAATTCAGTTATATACTTATAAAAATATTCTAAAATGGCACCTTACTTTTTTAGAAACAAATCTGTTCTTTAAAAAATAAAAAATATAAAAAATATTTAAAGCTGCTCTTGATAATAGCTAATGTTTCCGCATGTGGAAAATGTTAACATTTTTCTCGTAAACTACAGTTAATAAGTTTATTTTCATGTTTATGTAAATATTTCCTGTTTAATTATGATCTAAATTATAAGAGTTCAACTCAGCATAAGTCTTTGAACCAGTGTAAATACTGCCTACCCACTAAATGGGGACCAACCAGTTTAGTTTAACTAAGATAGTTTTGAATAATAAAACATGTGACATGTATATAAATAGTGTATATTGGCATCTATCTTTGAAAATTTCTACATGAAGAAGTTTCTTCCTCTTAAAAATAATTTTATTTTTGCCATTTATAAGGAATTTTGTGTTGCAGCTTGTTGATAGTATAAAATGATACTGGATTGATAAAAGTTTTTAGTATTAATAAGGTATGCAAGGTTTTCTTTTCTTCCTATGATCTTATGGATTATATTTATTTTAAGATGTTTATAATATTTTCTACCAAAGGAATAATCTAACTTCAGTTCTACATTGGGTTCATACTTACTGTTTTATGTAAAAAATTAAAAAAAAAACCTTCTGATTTTCCATATGGAGTTTTATGCGTTAGAAAGAATTCCTTTTAAATTATAACAGAATTAACTTTATTAATATAGAAAAATACCACTGTGTGTTAAAACATAGGGAGTGGGAAGTATTTGTATAGTTTGAAACCTGTACTGCCAAGTAACATTGACTTCTTATTTGGTCATTTATTTACAAAACTGCCTAAATATTAAATAATTATAATATTTCTCATTTAGGATTTGAAGACATATTGTCATCTTACATTGTTTCAAGTAGCTGATATTTAACTATGTAGCAAATTTTGCTATACATTGAAAAGGATTGTAAAGTTCACCTTCCAAATTTTGAAAAATTATTGTAAGGACTTAAAAAATATGTGGTTGGGTTGGGGATGTAGCTAGACCATGGGGTTAGCATATGCGAGGCCATGGGTTTAGCATATGCGAGGCCATGGGTTTGATTCCCCCAGCACTGTATAAAAAATAAAAAGTATGTGAATAGGAATTTTTTTTTTAAAAAGGCTTTTCTTAGTCAGAACTGTAAATTTTAACACTTCTGAGTTCCAGGATTGGATTTGTTGAGTTGTCACTATGATGAGAAGCTGAAATTAATAAATTATACATAATATTAGCACTGACTTATGATTTATTTCTATCAAAAGGTAGTTTTCTTTATTTGCATCAGTTTTAGTCTAATAAAAGGAAGGACTCAATTTGATTTCTTTTGTTTTGTTTTAAAGATTAAAGATCTACTTTTAAAAATTTTCTCCAGAGGAGAAATTACTTGAATTTTATCAAGCTAAATTTAAACTTTTTTTTTTAAAACCTTACTGGTTCTAAAAGAGAAATTATTGTTATCACCACTGTTAATACCATCGTCGTCAGTTGTCATTGCAACTCAAATTCATGTCCACTTAAAATGTCAGAATGTGACCTGATTTAGAAATCAAGTCTATGCAGATGTAACTAGCTAAGGGCCTTGAGTAGACATCATCCTGGATTTAGCGTGGACTCTTAAATCCAATGACTGCTGTCTTTAGAAGAAGAGGAGAAAACACTATAAACAGTGAATTAGGCCATGTGAAGATGGAAGGCAGATGTTGGAGTTTGTGCTGCCAGGAGGCCAGGACTGCCTGGGACCGCCAAAAGCTGATGAGGGAGAGTACTCATCCCTAGAGCCTTCAGAGGGAGCATGGCCCTGCTAACACGTCCATTTCTGACCTCCAGTGTCCATTTCTGACCTCCAGTGTCCAGAGCTGTGAGAAAGAAATTTCTATTTAAAAGTAAGCTTCCAAGTTTGCGATACTATAATTTTGCAGTCCTGGGAAACTAATAACATAGAAAAATGTGTATAGCAGATTCTGAGTACCAGGCATTCAGGACTACTGTAAGATTGCTTAAAATTGACACAGGAGTTCTGAGATGTCTTTTCTCTAATGGCAGTTTTTTTTACCTTAGGACCTTTTTTAACCTTTGCAAAACTATAAATTTTAAAGTTTTTTTTTATTAGATGCAGTTTATTGTTGTTGGCTGTACTGGGGTTTTGGACTTAGGGCCTTGCATTTGCTAGGCAGGCACTCTACCACTTGAGCCATGCCTGCAGCTATTTTTTTTGTTTGATTGCTCTTGTTTCCAGTATTGTAAGAATATATCGCCAAATCCAAGGTCATAAATATTTTCTCCCATGTTTATCTTTTTAAGTTGTCAATTCATTTTAAGTTAAATTTTGCACATGGTAGGAGGTATAGGGGACATATCTAGTTGTTCCATTTGTTGAAAAGACATTTCTTTTTCAAGCTGTTCTTTAACACTGCTATACCCTAGTAGTGGTCATTTCTAGGATTTCATTCTTCCAACTGTGATGCATCAAACCCATAGCTGTATAGATTGCAGGTTTTTTTGTTTTGTTTTGTTTGCAGTACTGGGCCTTGAACTCAGGGCCTTCACCTTGAGCAACTCCACCAGCCCTCTTTGTGAAGGGTTTTTCAAGATAGGGTCTCGTGGAACTATTTGCCTGGGCTAGCTTTGAATTGCAATCCTATCTGGCTTCTGAATAGCTAGACTGAGGCATGAGCCACCGGCACCTGGCTAGTTTGCAATTCTAAGAGTTAACAGCCTGTCCTTATCTGATCATTTGTGTTGGATATCTAAAGGTAGATAATGCTATCTTATTAGAATGTAGGTCCCAGGGATGTCCATGTAGAGGTAAACATCATCACTGGGGAAATGCAGATTTGTCACATTTCTCTAAATCAGCTTCAGACATGTACAATATGGGGAAAAGTGCATTGTCTGAACAGAAAAATGGGAATTAAGGCTCTTAAAGATAATCTTTATCATGTTTTTCTCCTGGGAACCCCCAGAGATTTTCATCTACATGTAATTGGTTAGAACTGTGCCAAACTACATTAGCCTAGCTGCAAATGGACCTGGAAATGTGATTACTGTTTTTTCCAACCTCTATACAGAAGACAAAGGAGAAGATGATTAGGAATGCATGCAGACAGCACTATTCTGTGGTATCTGCCACAGATACTGAGCTTCCAGGTGTGTCTACAACTTGGTATTCCTGTGTGCCTGATAAAATAAATTGATGTTGAACTGGTCTTTTGCAATTCCATTGTCATGTGAACTCTATAAAGATTCTCTAGTATAAACCTATCATGGTTTTTAGTCAGTCAAAGCTAGAATTAATATATTTACATCTGACCTGATTGCTATAACTGGGACACCTTAAATAAAAAAACCACTTGGAGACAGAGATGGCCCTGGAAGTGGAAATGGGGATAAAAGAGGCTGCTGCTGTCTTTTTAGGAACAGGTGAAAAAAAAGAAAAAAAGGTTGGTTAGAGCTCCCAAATTAATGAATTAATCGTAGTTAATCCAAGGATACTCAGAACTTGTCTTTCCAAGCCTCTGTTGTATTTAGGGCTTCACTATGCAATGTGACACGTGCATTACTTAAAAACCATTTTTTTCTTCCAGGTACGAGCGAGGCCTGACCCTGCTTAGCTTGTAAGGTCGGAGATCAGATCAGGCACATGCAGGGTGGTATGGCCCTAGACTACTGCTGTTTTTCACTTACATTGTCATTGAATTATATTACCTTTAAAGAAGTAGACAAAAAGATTAAGTAACTTTCATAGGGTCATGGAAGTTGCAAAAACTGGTATTATAAGCCAGGTTTCATCTGATCCTAAAGCACTTGCTTGTCCTCACTTCAGTGTGACTTACCTAGAAATAACTTAAGTATTAAGGTGGTCATATCATATTCTTTACCACCTCCTTTTTCCTTATGTCATTGAAATGGATGGAGTCCCAAATGGCTTACATGAGTGTAAAATGCCCTCAGATACCAGAATGCTAAAGAAAGAAAGAGCATAATGCAGGATAGAACTATTTAATGTGTACCTTGTAGCACAATTAGCTCTATTTCATAGGTGGGCTAATGAGACCAGAGCTTGATGTAAATGGACAGGCCCTGAGAACCGTGTGGCTCTGTCACATAGGAAGGGTCAAACATGAGGGAAATAGGAGCTCAGAGGAGTTAATTATTGAGTACTATGTTCAAAAATGGAAAGCCAAATCCAAGGGATTGCTGTTGAGTTGAGGCTCATTTGGTTGTGAGAAGTGAAGTTCTCTGTTGAAGGCTCTGGACCTGGGACCCATACCCACTCTGGTTTCTCTGTAAACCAAAATTGCTGAGGGAAAATATTGCACTGAGCTCAGGGCTGTGTTACATTGCGATTGAGGGGCAAACACTTCAAAATCACATTGTGATCTTGATCTCAACCTTGGCAGCCTTTCTAACCTCTTCTACTCACATATGCTAGACTCTAACCCCCCAACCCCAAATTCCTCAGGTGCCACTTTTCCTCAACTGGTTGCCCCTGTCATTTTTTCTGATTAGAATGCTTCTATCCATCTAACAAATTATTCTGTCAAGTGTCAGCCCAACTTTTCCTGGCCCTCAAACTACGCTGTGCCTCTGAAGCATCTTGTAGCCAGAAGATGGTGGTTGCCATACTGTACTGAAATGCTCTGTTCATGGATCTGTCTGTGGCAGACTGTAGTATGGCTCATTCAACATGCATTTCCAGCCATCTCCTTATTTAAATTCCTCTGTATAGAAGTCAGTAAACAAGAATAGTACTTGCCTTCCCAAATTCCATTGCAGCAGGGGGCCAGGGGCATGACATGGTTTTGGCCAGTGAGATTTAGATTTGAGTTTTTGGAAAGGGTTTTCTAGAAGGAAAGAAAAAACTTTAAAAGAAAAACTCTTTCCGCTTCTTCTGGCTTAGAAAGCAGATGCAATGCAAGGAAATTTAGCAACAATATTGTGACCATGAGGGATAAAATTATGGTGGCTTAATAAGATTGAAGATACTTGGTTCCTTAGTAACACTTTTGAGTGGCTGTACCATTTCTAGATTATCTTGTTGATTTTATATGAAAACAGAAGCCCTTATCTATTAACCTTATTATCCTGCTATTAGGTAGGGATTTGTTATTTGTGTCTGAAAGTATTGCCACCCTCACTAGGTCTGAAAAGTCTTAGAACTTAAAGCTATGTTTTATGCATTGTTATTCTTATGGCCTAGCATAGGCACAATAAATGTTTGTAGAATGAGAATGGAAATGGACTTAGAAAGCTGCATGGTGCTTCACAGTGTCTGGCATCCAATATGCCTGGAAAAAGAAATATAGAATAAAAAGCTTAAATTTACTAGTAGGTACATCTCAATGTAATTTCTACCATTTAAAAGGTGTGTGTGATTCATCTTCATAAGTGGTTGTACTTACAACTTAAATTTGGACTTTTGCTTCCGTTTGCATTTGAATCATTTGCACCCTTCAAAATTACACCCAGAAAATACTGTTTTTACCTGTGGAACTTTTAAAGAAAGTAGGTATTTTAATCCAATTTTTGATAACAATAGTCTTTAATATCCTTTCGTACCTTTTGAACAGATTTTCAGTGTTCAGAGCAGAGCACTGGAAGAAGGATAATTCTAGAGAATTTGCTTAGAGCAAGAAAAATACAAAAACTCAGAAAATTTATACAATTGTTGTTTGGACATAAATGTAAAAGGTTAATCATACAAGCCCATAATATTCAACTTTCTGTGCCACTGTTGTGGTTTTGTATGCTCCAACCTTAAAAAAAGAACAATGATTGATTTCCTAGGCCTCCTTGCAGGCATGTTCTCTGTGTGCCAGCAAAATGCATTCGGGTGTCATTTAGTGTTCATTCTACACACATGGTGCCTAGTACAGTGGGGTGGTGATAATTACAAACCCTGGAATCAAAGCCCGTGGATATAAATCTGGACTGTTTACTCCCAAGCAATGAGGCTTTGGACAGTGATTTCACTCCCCTGAGCCTCAGCTTGCTAATTTGTGAAATAGGATGCTAGCTTGCCCTACCTTATAGACTTGTTTGAGAAGGGAATGGCAATACCTACAAAGTTCTTAGAACAGTGTCTGGGACTCAATAAAATGTTGGCTAATTTTATTTTTCTTTTATTATTCATATGTGCATACAAGGCTTGGGTCATTCCCCCTGCCCCCACCCCCTCCCTTACCACCCACTCCGCCCCCTCCCTCTCCCCCCCC